AAGGGCATTCTTAATACCTGTCAATGAACTTGGTAAAGTCTTTCTAGAGAACAATTTGATTATAGAAATCTGTACATTTTAATTAAATAAAAATTCAGTGAGATTTTTTTTCACCAGATTATCAAAGATTAAAATGTTTGATGATATCCTGTGTTGAGAGAGGAAACCACATGTGAGTGGGAACATCAGTGGAGGGTTATTTGACTCTTGTTTCTCAAAAACACATGTACACTTTGCCCAGAAATTCTACTTCAAAGAAATTGATTCTATAGATACTCAAACAACTGTGAACAAGGTGGTAAGATAGCCCTAACCAAAAAAAAAAAAATAAAAAAATTCAATGCTTTCAAGTCGGATCCAACTCATAGTGACCCCTCCTTGGGTTTGCAAGGTGGTATCACTATGGAAGTAGATTGCCCAACCTTCCTTCCGAGGAGTGGCTGGTAGGTTTGAACTGCCAGCCTTCTGGTTAGCAGTCAATGCCTTAGGCACTACACCAGCAGAGCTCCTAATACAGCTCTATGTATACTCAAAAACTAGCCATGATTTAAATGTCCATCAATATGGAACTAGAGCTCTGGTGGCGTAGTGCGTAAGGTATTTGTTAACCAGAAGGCTGACGGTTCAAACCCACCAGCCACTCCATGGAAAGACTGGGCAATCTACTTCTATAAAGATTTACCACCTCAGAAACTCAAAGGGGATCGCTATGAGTTGGAATTAACTTGATGGCAGTGAGTTAGTATGGAAATGATTAAGTTATGATACATTCATATGGTGAATTATTAAAAGGAACAAACTGATGTGTATATACTGATCATAAATAATTTGCAAGACTATAAGAAATCTAGATTTTCTAGTTTTTCAGATTTATTTCCATAAAGTTGCTCTATCAATTGTGTGGTTTCTTCCTTTAGGCTCTATTAATTTTCTGTGACCACCATAACTAATTACCACAAACTTCTTCATTTAAAACAATGGAAATCAATTTTCTTACAGTTCTAGGGGCCAGAAGTCTGAAATGAAGGTGTCTGCAGACGAGTGATCCATCTGAAAGCACAAGAGGAGATTCCTTTCCACCTGCCTCTTTCAGCTTTTGGTGGCAGTATTCCTTCACTTGTGGCCCTATCACTCCAATCTCCGCCTCCATCATCACATTGCTGTCTCCTCTTTTGTGTCTTCTCTGGGTGTCTCTTACAAGGACTCATGTCTTTGGATTTAGAGCTGTCGCGGCCGGCGCAACAATTCTAGAACAGGGGGTAAGAGAATGAGTTAAAAATGAGAGAAAAGTTAAAGGATGGGAATGGGAGGGACACTTAGAGCCATTGCAAAGCAGTGCCAATTTTATTATGATCATTCTCAAGTTTATATACAAGTTTAACATGGGAGAAGTGCACAATTCATATGTCATACAATCAATCACAAGTTAATCAGTATAAAAAAGAGTACATGCATACACAATTGGCATATTAAAATTTAAACTAACATTCCTGTTCCCATAACTCAAGTCACCACAACTCAGGTCACCATAACCTCTTAAATTCTATACTCATTCTTCTATATCCCCTAGAAACCTATGTTCCCTAGCAACTTATTTAGTTTAGATTGGCTTCCGCATATTCTGGGTTCAATCAAAGGTTATGCCTCTTTTGCACCTGCTGTTTCTCTGAACAACACAAGGGAGAAAATGGCTGATGGTGTTCTAAGAGCAGGGCCCAACTTTCAGGGACACTTAACAGCATCAACCCACAAAACCCAGGGCCCATCAGTCCTAGTCCTTATGGGGACACTGAAAGTATCAACCTATTTATGAGAGCCATTGCTCAATTAGTCACTCACCACGTCCCAAACAGTCCTTTAAGACTTAGGGCTCTCCACATAGAGCCCACCCAAATAATCCAGGGTGATCTCCTCAAGGTCCTTAACTGATTACATCTGCAATACTGTCATATTCATAGGTTCTAGGGATTACGACAAGGACACAACTCTTTTTTGGGGCCACAATTCAGCCCACTCCATCACTCATCTATTAGTTTATCTCACTGTGGTGGCTTGTGTGTTGCTATGATTCTGGAAGCTATACCTCGAATATTTCAAACATCAGCATAGTCACCCATGGTGAATAGGTTTCAGCAGAGCTTCCAGACAGACTTGGAAGGATGTGGCAGTCTACTTCTGAAAAGCATGGCCAGTGGAGACATTATGAACAACAGCAGACCATTGTCTGATACAGTGTTGGAATACGAGGCCCTCAGGTTGGAAGGCACTGAAAATACTACTGGGGAAGAGCTGCCTCCTCAAAGCAGAGCCAACCTGATGACGTGGATGGAATAAAGCTTTTGGGACCTTTGTTTGCTGATGTAGTATGACTCAAAATGAGAAGAAACAGCTGCAGTCTCCTCTTGTGTGTCTTCTCTGGGTGCCTCTCACAAGGACTCATGTCTTTGGATTTACAGCCCGCCCATTAATTGGAGTGTGGAATGTACGGAGTATGAATCTAGGGAAATAGGAAGTTGTGAAAACTGAAATGGATTGCATAAAGGTTGATATCCTAGGCATTAGATGAAAAGAGCTCTAGAGGTTCAATGGTTAAAGCATTCAACCACTAACCTTAAGGTCAGTGGGTCAAACCTACAAGCTGCTCCATGGGAGAAAGATGAGCCAGTCTGCTTCTGTAAAGATTTACAGCCTTGGAAACCCCCATGGGGCAGTTCTTTGTCCTGGAAGGTTGCTATGAATTGGAATAGACTCAGTGGCAGTGGGTTTGGGTATTTTGGTTAGTGAGCTGAAAAGGACTGATACTGGTCATTTTGAATCTGATACTCATATGGTCTAAAAACAAAAAGCAAACTCACTGCTGTTGAGTCGGATCCAACTCATAGCGAGCCTTCCTTGGGTTTCCAAGGCACTATCACTACGGAAGTATATTGCCCAATCTTCCTTCCGAGGAGTGGGTGGTGGGTTTGAACCACTAGCCTTCTATTTAGCAGTCAAATGCTGCTCTGGTTACCTGGTGCTACTCTGACAAGAACATACCACAAATGGGATGGCTTGAACAACAGGAGTTTATTCTTACAATTTGGAGGCTTTGAGTCCAAGTTCAAAGTGCCAGGCTCTAGGGGCTGGGTGAAAGCCCCTCAGCCTTGGGGTCCAGCTCTGCCTCCAGCTCCCAGCCCATTGAAGATAGAGACATTTCTTCACTCAGACAGCTGCTGGCTGTTGAGGCTGAGAAGGCCAAGGTTGACAAATAAAATGGCACAGTCCTGATGTTACCAGACTACATGGCAGGCCATTAATTTAAGTCCATTGTAAGACCTGAGGTCGGCAGAGCATGGCAGGCTGCTGAACGATGACACGGCTACATGCAGGGCCCAAGCGTGCCATAAGGTGGAGACCATTCCCAAGGCTTCTCCTTATATACAGGAAGCAGATCACATCCACTCAGCTGCTTGTGGTAGATCCCACCATGGAGTTGATTGCCACTCTCATCCTGGGGAATAACTACCACCATCTGCCCAGCCACTCAACCAGGCCCAGCCAAGTTGACATACAAACATAACTACCCCAAATGCCTTAGGCACCTATGCCACCAGAACCCCCATCATATGGTCCACTATGCTGGAAATGACAAATTGAAGAGGAATGGTGTCACATTCATTGTCACAAAGAACATCTCAAGATCTATCCTGAAGTACAATACTGTCAGTGAAAGGATATATCCGTACACCCACAAGGAAGACCAATTAATACAACTATTATTTGAATTTACATACCAACCACTAAAGCCAAAGATGAAGAAATTTAAGATTTTTACCAACTTCTGCAGCCAAAATTGATGAAACATGCTATCAAGATGCATTGATAATTACTGGTGATTGGAATGTGAAAGTTGGAAATAGGAAGGAATGGTAGTTGGAAAAATCTTGGTGATGGAAATGTTGCTGAAGTTAACATGATAGAATGTTGCAAGACCAATGACTTATTATTTGCAAATACCTTTTATCAACAACATAAATGGTGCCTATGTATGTGCACCTTGCCAGATGGAATACACAAGAATTAAATCAACTACATCTGTGGAAAGAGACTATGGAGAAGCTCGATTTCATCAGTCAGAATAAGGCCAGGAGCTAACTGTGGAACAGATGTTGCTCAGATGCAAGTTCAAGTTGAAGCTGATAAAAATTAAAATAAGTCCATGAGGGCCAAAATACAACCTTGAGTATATCCCACCTGGATTTAGACACCTCTGAAGAATAGGTCTGACACATTGAACACTAATGATCGAAGAAGACCAGACAAGCTGTGGAATGACATCAAGGACATCATACATGAAGAAAACAAAAAGGTCACTAAAAAGGAAAGAAAGAAAAGATCAAAACAGTTGTCAGAAGAGACTGAAACTTGCTCTAGAACACAGAGAAGCTAAAGAGGAAGAAATGATGAAGTAAAAGAGCTGAACAAAAGATTTCAAAGGGCAGCTTGAGAAGACAAAGTAAAGTATTACAATAAAATGTGTAAAGATGTGGAGTTAGAAAACCAATAGGGAAGAACATGCTCGACTTTTTCAAGCTGAATTGAAGAAAAAATTCAAGCCTTGAGTTGCAATGTTGAAAAATTCTATGGGAAAAATATTGAATGACACAGGAAGCATCAAAAGAAGATGGAGGAAATACAGTCACTGTACCAAAAAGAGCTGGTCAATGTTCACCCATTTCAGAAAGTAATACATGATCAAGAACCAATGGTATTGAAGGAAGAAGTCCAACCACTGAAGGCATTGGCGAAAAACACATCTCCAGGAATCAATGGAATACCAATTGAAATGTTACAATAAACAGATGCATGTTGAGGTGCTTACTCATGTTGAGAAATTTGAAAGACAGCTACGTAGCCAACCAACTAGAAGGCAACCATTGCCATGGAGTCAGACCCAACTCATAGTCCTTGGGTTTCTGAGACGGTATCACTACAGAAGTAGATTGCCCAACCTTCCTTCGGGAAGTGGCTGGTGGGTTTGAACCGCCAGCCTTCTGGTTAGCAGTCAGATGCCTTAGGCACTATGCTACCAGAGCTCCCAACCAACTAGAAGAGGTGCATATATGTGCCCATTCCAAAGAAAGGTGACCCAACAGAATGTGTAAATTATTAAGTATCATTATTATCGCATGCAAGTAAAATTTTGCTGAAGACAATTCAACAGCTACAGTAACACATCAACAGAACAATGGGCTCAGGCGTTGCAATGGTTGTGAGGACAGCACATGACTGACGGACGCGGCAGTGTTTCCTTTTGTTGTACATAGAGCAGCTGTGAGTTGGAACAGACTCGACAGCGTCTAACAAGAACATTCAGCCCACTATACACACAGTGAAGGAAGGGCTCTCTAAACCCTTTCTCATTGTCTCAAGAAAAAGTATCACTCCATCTGCCAAAAGAGCTGTCCTCCCCCCCCCCCCCCGTAGCAGTTTGAGAAGCCATGTGGTTGATCTGGACTTGAAGTTGGAAGGGAAAAGATGCATGCCTACCATTTAAGTGTACTTTTCTGAAGCATACTCATTGCTAAAAGTATAGTATTATTCTTCCGTAGAACTTACAAATTTACTTTATTCTTTTAAAAGGCTTAGTTGTATTCCTATGTGTGTATACTTAACCAAATCTCTATCACTGGACAATTCGTTTACCAACAACACTGCAGCAAGCATCACTGTTCTTGTACCTTTGTTTACAAGTGCCAATACTTCTGCAGGATAATTCTTAAACTGTTATTGCTGGGTCAAAGGGCGTATGCACTTTTTTTTTTTTTTTTTTTTTGCCAACTTACTCTCCAGTGTGGATTCTGGTACATTTTAAAGCCGGTTGGATTTACAAACACGCCTTTTAAACGTCTGGCCCTCAGAGTCCCAGCCTCCGAACGGCAGGCGGCGCTGTGAGCGCGTCTGCGGAAGCGACGGGGGCCGCGCTGGCTGTCTGATTTCCGGCGCCGGCGGCGCAACGGAGGTAACTGCGGAGGCCAGCCTGGGTGAGCGACGCCATGCCGTACGCGAACCAGCCTACGGTGCGGATCACTGAGCTTACCGACGAGAATGTCAAGTTCATCATCGAGAATACGGACCTAGCGTAAGGCTGTATACCGAGGGAAGAGGATGGCGGCTCCGGGAGTGCTGTCAGGCCTCGTACGCTGGGTGGGGACCGGGGCGAGGGTGGTCCCTCCCCAAACGGGCCCCTTCTGTACCCGGGTCTTCATTTCGGGAACCGTGAGACGAGGGGCCGGCCTGCCAACTCGGTGACGCCTTCACTCTGCTTCTCTGTCATCCCTCAGGGTGGCCAATTCTATTCGGAGGGTCTTCATCGCTGAGGTGCCCATTATAGGTAAGCGACCCCTGCCTCCTCTTTGCTTGGTGACCAGCCCCCTCACGTCTGTCTCCTCCCACCCACCCAGCACAGACGTCCTGCCTCCAGTTCTTGGCGCCCGCCTGGAGTGCGACGAATGTTGGATTGCTGAGCAGAGGGTGGTGGTGGGAACTTGTCCGAACCACGTCCCGTCGGCCCAGCGGCCACTGCTGACCACAGGTTCTCCCAGGCCGTTCATTTCCACCTTTACATGTGCATTGGTGAAGAGTGTGAGCTCAGGGGTCTGCTGACTTGGCTTCAGATACTGTTTCATTTACCACCTCTATGACACTTGGGCAAGATGCTAAACTTCTGTGTGCTGCAGTTTCCTCATAGTAACATGTGGACACGAATAGTGCTTGTCAGGGTCCTGTTGTTGTTATGTGCTGTCGAGTCGACCCCGACTCATAGCGACCCCTCCTTGGGTTTCCAAGGGGGTAGGTAGCTCTGTGGAAGTAGATTGCCCAGCCTACCTTCCAAGGAGTGGCTGGTGGGTTTGAACCACCGGCCTTCTGGTTAGCAGTCAACTGCCTTATCAGGGTGCTAGCAAGGATTAAGTGAGAAATCCATACTCATTGCCTTGCATGTAGTGAGTGCTCAGTACTGGTAGATGGCATTTTTCTTTTTAAAAATGCCTTTTCAGTTGTATATATGGTGCATGTAAGGGCCAGGCATGGTGCTAGGTACTGGGAGTACAAACCTGTATAAAACGAGGTCTTGGGCCTATGGAATGAAGCCCTGGTGGCACAGTGGTTAAACACTCAGCTGGTAATTGAAAGGTTGGTGGTTCAGTCTCCGGCATCTCCATGGGAGAAAGATGTGGCAATTGGATTTCGTAAAGATTTACAGCCTTGGAAACCCTCGGAGGTGGTTCTACTATGTCCTACAGGGTCACTGTGGGTTGGAATTGACTCAGGGGCAATGGGTTTTGGCTCATGGAGCTCACAGGGAAGTTCCAGGCGTGGAAAATGAATCCACAGATAACAGTAATACAAGGTAGACTTCGATGAGTAGTTGAAGAGAAACATATCTACTGAGCTTTTGACACTTAGAGGAGGGAGAATCTATTTCTTCTCTGGTCCCAGCCACGCCTCTTCAGGTATTTTATATATTAACAAGTATACAAAAGTATTTTCAAGTGTCTGCTCAGAGAGTTTAGGTTAGGCAAAAGAAATAATAAAAGTCCTAGATTGTACATCAGGTGTGTAGTCTCTTAGGGAAGTAAGCAGGCACAGTGTTTGCCAAACAAGAAAATACTGTAGTTCATCTACCCTCCTCCCATCACGTCTTCAACTCCAAGCAAGAAAGCTAGTCCTCCCTCTGCCTGATCACTTTATGTCTTGGCCACAGTTTTGTCAGGAGTAAAATGAGGGGGTTGGACTTCATGATGCAGCCCTAACGTTCTGCATCGAAATTCTGCTTTTTCTACAAACTCAGTTCTCCCAGTACTGTTGGGCACCTGTTAGAGTCTTGGCTGTAGCTGGGAATATAAAGAGGTGTCAAGACCCTGCCTCAAGGGAGTTTCAAAGCTAGAGGTAGAGACAAGACATACACAAGTATGACATGAGGCCCATGTGACACTTGTCTTAAGAGAAGTCCAGACAGAGTTCTTTGAGGGAAGAGCTCAAAGGAAGGGAGTATTTGCATCTGTGTCATGGCAGGCACGCCTTGGTGTCGGGAGTAGCAAAGGATAAGGGGGTGGGGGCGTGGCAGGGAAAGTAAAGCGGCAGAAGCAGAAAAGCTGTTCCTTATGGGGGTGAATAAATGGCTTGGGTTGGAGAAGCCATAGAAAGCATCACAAGATGAAGCAGCTAGGGGCCTGCCATGTCTTGCCCTCTTGTGACCTCTGAATGTCTGAGAGCATTTGTTTGGCAGTTGGGCTACAGTGCCACTTGACCTACGTGTAAATGTTGATGTATAAAGGAACATGTGTGTTTTAAGTAAAGTGTGTGTAGGGTGTATATAGCCCCTCTCCCTCCTTCTAGCTCACTCCTAGTAGGGACTGGATTTTCTGCTTAGTAGGTCTTACCTGTTAAAAGAATTCCATAAACATTAGTAGAATGAGTGATAATGACGTGCTGGTTACATCATAAAATGAGATATGGGCCAGTCTGAGATTGACTCCAACTACGTGCCCATCTAGTTGTATTCTTAGATTTAGTGTCGGCAGACCTAAGGCAGTGGTGGTGGTTGTTATGTACCTTCGAGTCAGACCCGACTCATAGCGACCCCTCCTTGGGTTTCTCAGGCAGTATCACTATGGAAGTAGATTGCCCAGTCTTCCTTCCGAGGAGTGGCTGGTGGGTTTGAACCTCCAGCCTTCTGATTAGCCGTCATATGCCTTAGGCACTACACTACCAGAGCTCCTAGACCTAAGCTAGCAGACTTAAATGCTTCTTACGGATATATTCAGCTCAAAGAAACATGTTCCCACCCCGTTGGTACAGAGAACCCCCTGGTTCTGCAGCTGAGTCACCGTCTGGTGATTCCTCAATCCTAGAACCACTGGTCTAAGTCTTTAGGTGAATTTGGTGACTGAACTGCACCTCTGTTTCCCTCCTCTCTCAGCCATTGACTGGGTGCAGATTGACGCCAATTCCTCCGTCCTTCATGACGAGTTCATTGCTCACAGGCTTGGTGAGTGCTAGCTCGGGGGTTCATTGCTCACAGACTTGGTGAGTGCTGGGTTTGGGGGGCTGTTCCTTGTCTCAGAGGAGGAAGCCGCCCTTTTCCACCTCACCCACGAGGACCTTGTAGGTTCTTCTTTGGGCTTAACTACTTGGTCTTCTTTAAAGTGCTTTTCTGTGTCTTTCAGGATTAATTCCCCTCATTAGTGACGACATTGTGGACAAGCTGCAGTACTCCCGGGTATGCTGGCTGAGTGTGTGGAATGTGGGGGGGGAGTGCCTTCATTTCTCAGAGTGCTTTGTCCTGACATCTTTGCTTCCAGCTTGTACTAGGTTGTAGTTTTAGAAAGACAGTGTGGAGATGGGATCTGATGCCTGAGGCTGGCATTGGTTTGATGGGGCCTCAGGTTGATCAGGTTCAAGAGGTGTAAGCCAGCCACACAAGAGGGGAGTACACACCAGAATGCTCATTTATAATGGGCATGTCATTTCTGTTGTGGCTAATCTGATGTTTCTTGTAAATAGAGATGTATTTTTTAAAAGAAATATTCAAACACATAGAAGAGTATGGAGCAAACAGTAACAAATACCTATGTTTCTACCAAACAGCTTGTTACCTCCAACATTTTTCCATATTCACTTCACATCTCCCAATTTTTCAGAAATAGAACAGCACACATACTGATGGGGACAGTTGTACCATCAGTCGAAGAACAGTTTGGCAAGATCTTATATAAACACACGTCTGGTGACCTAGCAGTTCCCTCTGCTGCATTTTTTTAAAATTATTATTCTGTTTATCTAAGATGGTATGTGTTTGTCCTTTTTTGCTTATTATTTTCTGAAAATGTTTAGATTTACAGAAAAGTTGAAAAAGAATAGTAAGCACCCATTTACTTTTTGAAGGCGCTGTGGCAGTCATGTGTATTTCATTGGGTTCTTATATCTCTTTGTTGTTGTTGTTATGTGCCATCAGGTCGGACCTGACTCATAGCGACCCCTCCTTGGGTTTCCAAGGCAGTATCACTATGGAAGTAGATTGCCGCATCTTCTTTCCAAGGAGTGGCTGGTGGGTTTGAACCGCCAGCCTTCTGGTTAGCAGTCAAGTGCCTTAGCCACTATGCTACCAGAGCTCCCTATATTTCTTTAGTCTCTTTTAATCTCAAGCAGTCTCCTTATCTTTCACTAATTTTTTTTTAATCGTAAAATATGTGTAACAAAATATTTACTTTTTTTTTAAATTTTATTGAAATACAATTTATGTATAGTGAAACACACAAAACTAAAGTGACAGGGGTCAGTGCAGAATATTTACTTTTTACCCAGAGTTGCCAGTTATTAATATTTGCTGCATTTGCTTTATTTTCGGTAGATACTGTTTTTGCTTGACCATTTTGAAACTTCTCCCCTACTTCCTTCAGCATGCATCACCTAAGAAGAATATTCTGTATATAACATAACACTGTTATCAGACCTAAGACATTAGAGGAGCCCTGGTGGTGCAGTCGTTAAGTGCTTGGTTGCTAACTGAAAGGGTGCCGGTTTGAACCCACCAGCTGCTCTCGGGAGAAGCATGTAGCAGTCTGCTTCCATAAAAGTTTGCAGTCTTAGCCTCAGAAACCCTATAGGGCAGCTCTGCTGTGTCCTGTAGGGTCACTATGAGTCAGGATCGACTCTGGCACTGGGTTGAGACAATTAGCATTAACTGATAATATCTTCATGTAGTTAGATTTAGATTTTCCCAGTTGTCCCCAAAATGTCCTTCATTGTTTTTTGTGTAGGGGGCTATGAGCTAGTCAAAGTGTGTATATATTTCATTTGGTTCTTTTATCTCTTTAGTCTCTCATAATCTCAAGCAGTCTTCTTGTCCTTCACTACTTTTTTTTTCAATCATGGTGAATTATGTATAACAAAACATTTGTCCTCTTATCCATCTTTACATACATAATTCGATGATACTGATTATGTTCAACATGTGCACCCATTGCCACTATCCATTTCCAAAAGTTTTTTATCACCCCAAACAGAAACTCAGTGCCCCTTAAGCAAGAATTCTCCTTTTACCCCTCCTACTTGCCCCAGGTATCAATTAATAAACTCTGATCTCTGTGTATTGGCCTTTTCTAGGCATGTCATACAAATGAGATCATACAATATTTGACTTTTATGTTTGACCTCTTGCGGCATAGCACTTAAGGCATTTCCTACCCAGAAGGCTGTCAGGTTCAAACCCACTAGCCACTCCTTGGAAGACTGGGCAATCTACTTCCGTAGAGATAGTGCCTCGGAAACCCAAGGAGGTCACTATGAGTCAGGACCAACTCGACAGCAGTGAGTTTGGTGTTTTTTGGTTATGTCATCCAGCATACCGTTTTCATAACCGTTTTTGGTTATGTCACCCAGCATACCATTTTGTAGCATACATTAGAACTTCATTTCTCTTTATGTCTGAATGATATTCCATTGTGTGTATAGACCACATTTTGTTTATTCATTCATCTGTGGATGTACATCTGGATGTTTCCACCTTCTGGCTGTTGTGAATGGTGCTGCAGTGAACCCTGGTGTACAGAACACTTGTGTGTGTGAGGCTGAGGGCCTTGGCATGTTTTATCTTCGATTACATTTTGATTCTTGTGTTTCGTATTTCTTGCTAAGAGAATGATTCTGTCTCAGTCATTCTCACCCACTTCTCTCTGAGTGCAGGCAGGCATGTAGGGTGGTGGGTGTGAGTGAGATGGGGTGGGCTCGAGGTGTCTCCTGCCTCACCAGGGTAGGACTGTAGCCTGTCCAGTTGAGGCCCCTCATTGTTTGTTCTCCCTTATCTCAGACTCCAGGGTTGTTGGATGTGAGGGGAGAACTGTTTGTTTGATTGTATTCTAGAAACTCTCTTGTTGCCTGAAATTAAATGGCAACAGATAGTCCCTAACATGGGGGTGGGTGGTTTCAAAAGTCAGTTCTGTAAAGAATGGCGCTGCATTGATTATTATGGAAGCTGAGTGGTGGTTACGTGTGGCAGTTTGTTACACTGTTCTGTAGTTGGGTCCATGAACTAACTTTTCCATACTTTTTTTTAAGTGCTCTAGAATTTGGATTGTACTTTCCTCTCGTGTTCCCTGTTTTACTTTAAATGATGGCTACTTTCCCAAGCTAGTCCACTTAGCTCATAGGAAGCTGAACTCTAGTCTGGAAATATCCTCCTCTCACTAGTAGTCTTGCTTCTCCAAAGGAACTCTGGTGGTGTAGTGGTTAAGGCATCTAACTGCTAACCAAAAGGTCAGTGGTTTGAGTCCACCAGCCACTTTGTAGAAGAAAGCTGAGGTGATCTGCTTCCATAAAGATTTACAGCTTTGGAGACCCAATGAGGGTCGCTCTGAGTTGGAATCAACTCAACGGCAGTGAGTTTGAGTTGAGAGTTTTCTCCAAAGAAGTGCTCTGAGGGCCAAGTGAGCTGTTAGGAGAGCATTTCCCAGTGGTGGCTGGCAGCTGTGGGGCGGGGAGGGGAGGGAAGGAAGGGAAGCACGGGTGCCAGTGTGTATGTAGGTTGTCTCTAAGCTGGAAGTGTCTGCACTTGAGCAGCTCATGAGAACGATGTTTCCGATTGACAAGGCCCCAGGTGCTTCGACACCACGATCAACCCCTTCTTAACTTAGGATGAAATTGGAGAAGCTCGTATTGGGAGCAGGGATCCACGCCAGGATTTGCCACACCTCCATCCACCCATCCCTGCTTCTCCTGTTGCTGCAGGACTGCACGTGTGAAGAGTTCTGCCCCGAGTGCTCGGTGGAGTTCACCCTTGATGTGCGCTGCAATGAGGACCAGACTCGGCATGTCACGTCTCGAGACCTCATCTCCAACAGCCCCCGTGTCATCCCGGTCAGTGTCTCAGAGCATCCTGCCTGCCCAGCACCTTTGCTGTTCGCCTGCTGGCTCTCAGTGGGCCACACTGAGATGGATGCTTCTCAAGACGCTGACTTCCTGGGTTACTCTGCTTTAACTGAGTGTCTGAAGCACTGATGCTGGCTTCCTGGCTGGGTAGGCAGAGGCACGGTTGGTGCTGTATGCTGTCACCCAAGGACCCTGGGTGGTGCTGGGATTGTTTTTGACTGAGAAGACTACCAGAATGCTGTGAAGTGGGGTTAGAGTCCAGTCACAGCACAGTGTCCTAGTAGGACTTTCTCCCACCTCATTCCCAGGCATGCTGCCGAGTTTGGCAGATCGCCATCTGGAGGTGCTAGAAGGACGTTGCCAGAGAGGTGACCAGGGACACGAGCAGCTAATTCATTCTTCTGTTTGGGCTCCCCACAGGTAACATCCCGGAACCGAGACAATGACCCCAATGACTACGTGGAGCAGGACGGTAAGGGGCTGGAGTGAGTGTGCAGACGTCTGCCCCCGCGGGTCTGCAGGCTACAGGGGGAGCTTCGTGCTGCCTGCCCTCCGTGTAAACTGCTCTAGATACATTTTTCTGGATGTGTGTGGACTTTCAGTGGCTTACCAGGCCAACATGGGAGGGACACGGACTCTCCTGGCTCTTAAGTGACTCAGGCTTCTCCCCACAGACATCCTCATTGTCAAACTCAGAAAGGGGCAGGAGCTGAGACTTCGAGCCTATGCCAAAAAGGGCTTTGGCAAGGAACATGCCAAGTGGAACCCTACTGCAGGGGTGGCTTTTGAATATGATCCAGACAATGCGCTGAGGCACACAGTGTACCCTAAGCCGGAGGAGTGGTATGTTCCCATCAGGAGTTTAGGTGGATATTTAGGGTGATGGGTGTGGAAGTGGCTCTTGGTGATGGGATAAGCCTGGTAGGAGCTACGTGCCATAAAAGCGGCAGCCGTGCGCTGACCTGTGCTTGACTTCAGGCCGAAGAGTGAGTACTCGGAGCTGGATGAAGATGAGTCCCAGGCCCCCTACGACCCCAACGGCAAGCCAGAGAGGTGAGGCCCCGGCCTGACGCTTAAAGGCAAAGTGCGGAAGGATGGCGGGGATAGGGGTAGGCTCTGAGTTAGGGAGACCCTCTCATCTTCCATTTCCCATAAGCTGAGGAGGAGCCAATAACTTCTAAGTCCATGATGTGCATATCCCGGGGCAGCTTATCATCATCCCCTGGGGAGCTCTGGTGGTGCAGTGGTTCAGGCACTGACTACTGACCAAAAGGTTGGTGGTTCAAACACACAAGCCACTCCATGGAAGAAAGATGAGGCAGTCTCCTTCTGTAAAAATCCACAGCCATGGAATTCCATTGGGGGTCTCTGTGAGTCGGAATCGACTCAATGGCAGTGAGTTGAGTTTTGGGGTCACTTTGGGCAAGAGGGGGCCTCCTAGCTACGCAACTTGTCCCTTTCCTGATTTTTACCCCCGATGGCTGGCAGCTTTGGATGGGATGTGCTGTAGCCGTGATCACTGCGTGTTTGATTTCCCCTGTTTTCCTCAGAGTAGAACACGTCCATGTTTTGAGGATTTTTTTAGGGTTTTTTTTACAGTATCTTTCTGAGGCAGCTACAGCCTCTGAGGGCTTACAAAGTGAGCTGGGCCCACTGTGTGTAAGAGGTTTTGGATGAAGGGAGGTCAGCTGTGGGGCAAGATCACATTCCTGATGGGTAAGGAGTCAAGACCAGAAGGGGGGAAGGGTTGGCCCTTGGTTAAAGCTCCAGCTGCCTGCCTGCCTCAGAGAGGGTTCTCACTGGACTCTCGCCTCTTAGGTTTTACTACAATGTGGAGTCCTGTGGCTCTCTGCGCCCGGAAACCATTGTTCTCTCAGCCCTCTCGGGGTTGAAGAAGAAGCTGAGTGATTTACAGACCCAATTAAGCCACGAGATCCAGAGTGACGTCCTGACCATAAATTAGCTGTAGCTTGACTGTCTCAGCAAAGGGGAGACAAGCTAGCAGCTAGCTAGACTTCAGCTCTTGCCAGATGCTTCCAGACTCCTGGGCTGCCAGCGCTCAAGCTTCTTGGCAGGCACCAACTAGATGGGTCGCAATGGGGAAGTGGGGGCCCATCCAGCCTTTCTTGATTGCAGATGGATTACCAGGGATGCTGCCAGTATTTGAGCAGGGCAGTCCTTAACTGGACATTTTAGCATCCTAGTCCCTGCTAAGTGCCAGTCGTTCTACCCAGAAACCAAAACATCTCTTCCACCTCATTTCTTGATGTGCCCCAGGGGTCAAGCTTCCCTGCTGAGACCACCGAGCTGGACTTCTCTTTTTCTCCAGTCAGCCTAGCTCTTCACTGGAAACCCTGTCTGTCCAGTTCCCACTTGGCCCTTAGGTTTCAGATGTTAGGAGTGAGTACCAGAACGCTCACTCGGCCAGATTATGAACCCAGGCCCAGCCTACTGGCACCTCACTCAAACCCCCAAGTTCTTTATTTGAGAAGTAACTGTGGGAACAGTGTGAGCACCTGGTTGTCCCTCCTCCACACAAATAAACCAATTTCACTTCCAAGCTCTTGGTTATAAACACCTTCACTGCCAGCAGCCTGGCCATGCCATTGGGGTGGCAGGAACAAGGTGCTCCCAACCCTATTTCATTTCGCCTTGACCCCTGAGCACTGTCCCCAGGTAGGAACATACCCAAAGCAGTTAATTAGGCTGCCAGTGATAGAGTACAGAAAGGACCAGGTATTTATTGATGAACAGTAGTTGTCTTTTTAAAAGTTTTTATTCTTGGCAATAAAGAGCACAACATCATCTCCTTCATGCGTCATCGTGCCACTAGCTGAGCCAGCCAGCTCTGCCTCCTTCCCCAAGGCCTTGGGACCTGAGCGCCCTTCTTCAGGCTGGCTTACTCCTCTGGCGCTCCTGCCCTGGGTCAGGTTCAGAGCAGGGTTGGCAGTGGCCACCTCCCTGGCTTCAAAGCTCAGGTGGGAGGGGCCACCTGCCACAGCGCCGGCAGCAGTTATTTACAAGAAGATCTACTAGCACGAATCAGAACCCCCAAAAGTATTAAAAAAAAAAAAAAACCACCACGCAACCAAAGGTTTGATGTGGATAGAAAGATAGCCCTTCTGCACGGTAGTCAATAAATACCAGCACTAGAAAATCAATTGCTTTAATTGCATTTCAGCAGGGAGCCTCAGCACCGTGGGGGGAGGGGAAGCCTGGCTTTCTGAGTGCTTTAGGCTGGCCACGGGGTGGCCACATGGCAGAGGGACCTTCTGCTGGGGCACTGCCCACCCTGGTCTGAGAAGGGCAGCAGGGGCTCTCCCCATGGCAGTCCTGCTGCAGCCCCCCCTCCTGGCCTGGCCCGGGACCAGGAGAGGGCTCGGAAGTGGCCACCCTCCGATCCTCCACGTGGCTGAGGTAACCAGCACCCCGACCCCCAGGGCATCCGAGCCCATTAGACAGGAAGCAAGCCGTGGGAAAATGACATCTTAAAACCAGATTTTCACCTGAGATGTCACCTCAGTTTAAAACGGCTGCCAGGTGGCACAGTGGAAGTTGAGGACTTTGTTGCCTCTGGGCCCAGAGGAATAGAGAAGCCACCTGCTGTCTCAGCCCCTGGGCTGCTTAGAAAAATCAGGTAGTCAGTGCCAGCATCGAGTTCTGCTTGCCCCCTCTGGGCCTGGCAGCTCAAGCAAGCCTGGCAGCAGGAGGGCTATACCATGGAGGACGGGACAGCTGCCCTCACTCCAAACCAGCCTCGACTGTGGCCTTGTCATGGGATTAAAAATGTGGATGTGATGGCAGGGAGGGCGGGAGAGGGAAAGGGGGAGGTCTCAGTATAGAATATGTCATAAGCCATATATATTAAAATCATTACAGTATCTAGTCCCATGGTAGCTCCAGCCCCTCACACATGCTCAAGTGGTGTGGCCAGCCCTGTGCCTTGGTCCAGCCTCACCCTTGGGGGCAAGGGACAGTTGCTCCCTTTTGCCAGGCTCTTGGCCAGCAACCTCTTGAGACTGTCCAGTCACTGCAGCCAGCCCTGCAACAGCCCCAGCAGTCGTCTGTGTACGCCGGCTTCGCTGTCACTGGGATGGGGTCTTGGCCTCACAGCTGTCCCCCTGGTTAGGCTTTGGCTTTAACAGGATGAATTTGTTGAGGAGGTCTGTTTCTGAGCTGGCCTGGGCTGCCCCATATCCCTCACCTGTGGGCATAAGGCAGGCTCAAGACTCACATCCGGGTCTGAAGACTCCTAGCCAGATGGCCTCGTCCTCCACATGCCACCCTGTGGGCCATGACTGCAACTCACCTGCATAACTGGAGGCCTCAGCGATGTTCTGGGAGCCTGTGATGTGGTGCCAGTAGGCGCTGCGGGGCAGCATGGTAGTGGGTGTGCAGGGATACGAGTAATGTTCTGTGCCCTTGTTCAGCAGCTGTGGGCAGAGACGGGGTCCCTCCCATGAGCTCAGGGGCCTCCCTGCCCCTGGCCTCCCCGTACCCTGGACTGAAATGCCCAGTCTCACCCTCACGTTCTTCTCCATTTCAAGCAGGACTCGCTTGTGCTGCTCGGCGATGGCCAGGGTGGCACTGTGGACCCGCTGGTAAATCTGTTCCCCCTCTTGCGTCTGGAAGGTGTAGAGCCCTTCCCCAGCATCACACATCCTGGGGACAAAGACACAAGAGAGCAAGGTGGGGGGGACCCGCAATGCACACACAGGTGCTTGGTCAGGCTCTTCGGTGCCCCAGCCCTGATGTAGCGCCAGGTCCCTGGGATAACGGGTGGTCCTCCGGGAGTCTGACCACACGGTGCCAACCTCCTGAGCACTTTCTGTGTGCCACGTAGTGGGTGGAATGCTTTCCAGGCACTAACCGGCTCTGCTGTCTCCACCACCGCCCTCCTCTCTGTGCACTCCAGAGGTTTCCTCGTTAGTGTGAGTTTTCTTCAGCCATTTTACACATGAGGAAACACAGAGGCTACATACATTAACCAGGGTTATTCTGAGGATTATATGGGGTTTAAATCTAGGCAAGCCAGCTCCAGAATTCAAGCTATGGGATACCCGATCCTCACCATAATTCTGATAGGGACTTTCATTATCCTGCATCTGACAGATGAGGGAACAGACTCAGGCCCACAGTCACAGAGCTTGGAGTGTTGGTGCCGGCACCTGAGCCCAGGCAGGCTGACGGTTGTTGGTAAACAAGCTTCACTCACCTGCGGTGGGCAACTTCTCTGAGCCTCCGTTTCTTTGTAACACTGGAATAATGTGTTCCCTTTGAATTGCTCTGGGATCTCTGGTGGTGCAGTGGTTAGGCATTTAGCTGCTGACCAAGAGGTCAGTGGTTTGAAACCACCAGCTGCTCCATGGGAGAAAGATGAGGTGGTCTGCTTCCATAAAGATTTACAGCCTTGGAACCCCTATGGGGCTGTTCTACAACATTCTACAGGATGACTGCATTGAAATGGATGTGATGGTGGTGGGTCTGGTTTTGGTTTGAGATTGCTCTGCAGATAAATTAAGTTCCTAGCCTAGTGCCTGCAGAGTGAGTGGCAGCCACCATCATGACCATGGTGGGTCAGGGGTACTAGGTCAGAGGCTCTTACCGGCCAGCCTCGAAGGTAAAGCGTGTGGCGTCCCGGCCATAGCGGCGCAGCGAGCAGAGGGGCCATGACACAAGTTTCACGCGGGGGTTGTGTATGTCCCAGAGGTAGATGTTTTCATGGGTGATCTGCAGCTTGCACTCGCCATACACGTCCAGGTTGGGGCAGGGCAACAGGAAGACGCTAAAGCGATCTGGTGTGGGCGTGGGCGGGAACAGGTGAGCCTCCTCCCCACCCCTTCCACACCCCCTCCCCTCCCTCCTTTCCTCTTCCTTTCCCCTTCCCTCTCCTCATGCTCCTCCCCCTCCCTCCCTTTCCCACCCCCTTCCTCTTCCTCCTCTCCTTCCCCCCTGCCTCCACCCCTAGTTCCAGTTATCAGGTCTCACCTGTCTGTTCACATTGCACCCCTGGGGCCAAGAGGTCAGGCTCCCCCAAACTAATGTCATTGAGCCGTGACCCTAGACACTCCACAGATAGTGTCTTGTACCACTCCTCCGCCTCCAGCTCTGGAGAAAATGGTACCTCGTCATGCGGTTGGCTGGTCCCCAACAGCCCACCAGAGACCCGCCCCTGCCTCAGCCTGAGTTATCCCAACATACAAGGCAGGGAGGGCAAGGCCAATGGATTCTGCCTGCCCATCACCCCCTCAGTCCCAGGGGCTGTTACCTCAAAAGCATCTTCCTGCCTCTCCACACACAGACACACACACACACACCACCATCCCTAACCAAGGCCAGTCCTAACCCCCTACCCAGTGACCCACTAGAAATAAACACCGTGCCTGGTGGGGGTAGGTGGGCGGAGGGCTGGGTCCCTGGCTACTCACCTGAGTCACAAGTGAAGGTGCGTGCCGAGTCATCGGTGAAGATGATGGCCACTGCCTGCCGCTTGGTCTCCTTGGGGAGCCGCGTGACACACTTGACATTGCTGATCTCGGTCACCTGGGACAGCATCCACAAGGGACTCAGCCACACTCAAGCACCTCCCTCTGCATCCCCCACAGCTCTGCCACTCCCAGGAGGGTGCTCTTGGTTCCCAGGACTCAGTAAATCATCTTTGCCTAGAAGCTGAGGGATGTAGGGTCCGGGGCCCCTAACCTTGGGGCAGCCCCGGAGGCACACTGACTTCTCATCCGGATACTTCTCCAGCCGCTGGGGCCCCTTGCTGGAGGACTTCCGGAACACCAGCCAGCACCGCCTGTAGATCTGTAGGGCAAAAAGGCAGGGGCATCAGGCCTCACTGGGCCACTCCCAGCCAGCCAACAGGGCCCTGCAGTTACCCCTGCTGCCATAGAGGGCAGCCCACCCAGGAGGCCCAGCCCAGGAGAAAACCTGGAGGTGGCAGATGTGAGCAGGACACTTCCCTGGGAGAGAGGCCCCTCCTCAAAATGAAAGGGCAGTTGTTTTTTGGCTGGCCCTGAAAAGCTGTGCTCTCCTGAGTTACCATGTACTCTGAGCACAATCGACTCATTTACTGAGTGATTTCCGTTTGCACATTTCATTATTAGCACTTTTATAATTAATCGTCAGGACCACTACTTGATAGATGGGGAAACAGAAGCGCCAAATAAGTATCAGCTAATAAACAGTGGGGCTGGCATTCTAAACAGGCTGCTCCAGAGCTGACAATCACACCCCTCGGCCGCAGCAGTGCTAGCCACAACAGAGCTAGTCTCCCAGGGACAGGGACCAGCCTCTTGCCCACTCCACCTGGAATCCCCATGACCATGGCTCTTGTTCTCAGAGCCAGGGGAGGGCTCGTCCACAAGCTTCATCCACCCTCTTGTTCGCTTACCAGCCTGGAGTGTAGGGCGCAGGCTTATTTCCCTGCACCAGGTGGGAAACTAGAGGCTTCAGGAGGTCAAGGGACAGAGCCAAGAACCTGGGCTCACCCTCAGACCCCGAGGTCTACCTAGCTCAGTTCCTCCTGCCTCAACTGCAGCCAATGACCCGGTGCCTTGAGCCACCTAACTTCTCCGTAGCTTCATAGACTCCTCCCGAGGGCCAAGGGGCCAAGCAGAGATGGCTGTTCTCCAGGGCTAGAGGGGCAGATGGGCTTGTCGGACACCTGGTGCTGTGCCTGACGACCTTCCAGGCTCCCGCCCTCAGGCCTCAGGCTCTCTTCCAGCCTGAAGTACGTGGCTGGGGTGTATCTACTCCCTTCAGTGGATGCTGCAGAAGCCTTGCAGAGTCTGTCCCCCAGAAGCCTCCAGGCTAGCTAAAGCGTGCCTCTCCCTGGCAAACAGTAGGAGGCTCAGGGGCAGGCCCAGACCAGAGCAGGAGTTGAGAGGGGCCTCTGGACCACAGCTCCAAATCCCTGCCCCCGCCTCAGCCCTGCTCTGCCAGGCACGCACCAGGCCCTGGGAAAGTGGAGTCCCGGGCACAGTGGGTCTAGGCAGTCCCTATCCCAAGAAGCCACTCAACAAGGCCATCTCTGACTCCTGTCTGGGACCCCAGGGGGCCTGTCTGCCCTTGACCCTGGCTCAGCCCCTGGCCTTTCCACAGCAGGCCTTGGCTGGGCAGCTGCTCTAAAGCAGAAAAAAAAGGTCTAATTCTCAGAATCCTAACTCACGTCCAGGTAGCCTCCTTAACAAAGCTTGCTGAACAAATGAATGACTATATGAAGGGACAGCAAATGAATGAATGAATGACTGCTGACCATTCAGACATGCTCCAGGTTGGGCTCCAAGAAGCTTCCACATCAGGGCAGAAGGCCTGGGGGCCTGAGCACCCCGATTGCCTGGTTACAGAATACACACTGGCACAGCCTCAGGGAGCTGCCATGCTCAAGAGCCCTCCTTCCCCACTTCTCACAAGTCTTTGGTCAGAAACACTGACACAGTTCTGCCTTGGGAGGAAGGTCTTGGCAGGTAAGAAGCTGGGCTCATCACTTTCAGTCCTTCCTCCTCCCCTCTGTGAGCTAAGACAAGAACAGCTGCCTTCGGGTAACCAAAACCCCCTACCTTAGAAAATGGGGCTCAGGTCTGCAGAAGAAGGCTGAATTCCCAGGAGAGATGCCTCAAACAGGCCTCACCCCAGCTCCCAACCCCTACCCCTGGCTATGCCTGCTTGAGGGCACTTGAGTTCTCAGGTCTCCTCACGGAACAGGTCTGTGACTGGCCCTGTGGCTTCCTCCTTTCTGGCAAGTTCTGCCCTACCCAGGGCCTCAGCCAGCTGACCCCTGGGAACCTGCTCAGTCCAGGGTGGTAGGAATGAGAAGTGATGCTAGAAGCTGGGCCCTGCTCCCTCAGCCTCCCCACCTTGGCCGCAGCCTCCCTGTGTTCTGTGCACCAAGTCAGGGTGCTACATCCCTCTCAGGGGAAGAGTAAAGTGGGCCGGTGGCCACCAGGGCCCAGTCTCCACTCAGCTGGCTACAAATTCAAACCGAGGTGAGATGTCAACTGCGCAGCTCCATCGTGCAGGTCGCTGCCTTCCACCGGGACAGAGCACAGTCCTCAGGGGCCAGAGCCACACCTCTCCAAGGCCAGCTCTGCTGTCTGGCATCCAGGCAGGGTAGCAGCCTCGGAGCCTGCTTCTTCTGCCTCATCTTCCTCAAGGCCACTCGGGCAGTCTGACCCCACCCCACCTCCCTATCAAGGCAATGGGGGATGGGAGGAGGAGGGGCAAGAGTCCAGGGTGAAAAATCTAGACTGGGCCACCTTGGTCACCAGGCTTTCCTCAGTATTGGAGAGGGGGTAGCTGCGGAGCCCTGCAGGCTGTGGAGATGGGGGGTGAGGGTCAATGGGGAACAAAGGGAACTCTGGGACAAACTCACCAAAATCAGTAAGTTGGTCCCTGGGGCCCCTGCTCATGCCTTCTGGGGGGTCTTCACCAGTAGGGGGCCTACAGGGGTGGGAGAGGTGCACGCCCAGCAGAGATATGTCTGAGGCCTCAGCTCCAAAGCCCCTCTAAGCCCCAGCTTGGGCCAAACACTACCGGGAGCTGCCAGCCGGCAACTCAGAGGAAAGTAGCCTGTCCCAGCACACTGGGCATCTCACCCCAAGTTTTCATTCATAAACCATACAGATGTCAGAGCACCAGGCTTTCCACCCCAAGTTCTTACTCATAAACCACACAAATGTCGGTGTCGACACCCCGCACGGCCCTGCCTCCCCCAATAATCAACCACTCTCCTCCTCGCACACAGCTGTAACATTAAAACCAACAACCAAAAATAAATGAAGAAAGCTATCTGTGCATAGAAGCCACTGAAATTAAGAAGAAATGATGATGTACTTAAAAGAGGTGAAGGGAGGGGAGCGCAGGGGAGGGGTGCAGAGAGGAGGGGAGGGGAGAGGAGGGGAGGGGAGAAAAGCAGCCAGGAGGCAAAGGGAAGTGAGAAGCTGGTTCTCAGCTCAGACACAGCCCAGCATTTCCAGCCGTTCCTGCTGCTGCTGCTGTGGCAACAACTCCAACAATAGCAGGGAAGCCGCCTGCCCACCGGCCGCTGCCGCCACCACTGGCCCAGCTGCTGGGATGCCAGCCAGCCGGCAGGACTGGGGCGGGGGCTGCAGCAGGCAGGCACATGCCAGGCTCAAGACCACAAACGTACCATGTGCAGCAGCAGGCAGGCACTGTGCACCCCGCCCCCCGAGCCTCCAGTCCAAGTCCTCCGCACCCATCCCTTGGCGGGGTCCCTCAGAGGGCTGCTCACCCCCAGCTTCCTGCTCTTCATCTTCACATAGCCTTGCTTGACTATGTCGCTGAAATTGGTCGCCATGGTTCCCCGCCGTCTCTGGGGCGCCGCCGGGCTGGCAGAGGCGAGGGGAGGGAGGCCCAGGTGGCCTCGGGTTCTCAGCTTCTCCGATCACCTGTTCGAGACGCTCCGTCGGGGCCACGCTGGCTGGGCTGCTGCTCACCTCGCCTGCCTCAGCATTGTTCTAGCAGCTCCTGCGCCCGGTGCCTGCTGGAAATAAAAATGACAGGGAGCTTGGAGACAGTGACATCTTTCTCTTGCCCTCGCTGTCTCGATCTCTTTTTTTCCTTCCTCTTCCCACACTCCTCCCTTCTTCCCTCCCTCCGCCGGCCCTCCTGCCTTCCCTTTCCTTCCCACCCCAGGACGACAGCACCATTCAGGAACACCGAGGTGGAGGCGCCGAGGTGGAGGCAGCAGAGGAGGAAAATGGTCCAGCCCAGTCCCCCTCCCTCACGGCTGGCGGTTAACCCCTTCCTGGGAGGACTGGCCGGGGCTATCACAGTGGAGGTGGGGGCAGAGGAAGGGAGGTGGCCGGAGGTCTGGGCTGTGGTAGAGTTGCTGCCCCTCAGCTGTGGGGCCCTGGCAGCTTTATTGACTACGACAACTTTGGGGCAGACTTAGGGCAACCTGGCCAGGGCAAGGCCCCCTCCTTTGCACATAAGCCACCCGGGGAGACACTTCCCAGAGTGTCCTAGGAGATGGCATGGACTGTAATGTCTGAGTGAACCCCACGGTCCCCAAGGTTAAAGACAACTTGCCTTGTCAGCTGTAGCAGACTCCCTCTGCCCCACCCCGCCCGATATCTAGGTCTCTGCAGCCTCTGCCTGAGGCATCCGCCTGAAGCCCACTCTGGCCCTGGCCCCTGCCCCCAGTCCCTGGAACTCTTTGGCAGCTCCTCTGGCTACTGCTTCCTGGATGGGAGGGCAGAGTCCAACAGGGCGGGTAGCAGATAAGCCTGAGGAATGTGCTGGGCCAGCGGGAGGTGGCCACTGTGGAAGCAGACGTCTCCCTGGCCCTGGTGCTGGGAAGACTGGGTGGGCCTGTGGGGGCAGGGCCTGGGCCCAGTAGGGGCTGGCCAAGCAGGCTGTCTTGTCCTGGGCACAGGTGGGGTTAATTACAGGGAGAACTAGCAATCACCTGGGACAAGAGCAGGGAAGGAAGCCCAGAGGGAGGCAGGGGACCAAGAGGAAGTCAATATGGAGTGGGAATGCGGGGGGTGGGGGGGTGGGCATGAGGGGTCACTGCAGAAACAGGCAGAAGGAAGGGCAACAAAGACTCAGGGTGCCCAGTGATGACCTAGACCAACACCCGCACTGTACAGATGGTGAAAAGAAAGCTGCCCAGAGAGGGGAAGCAACATAGCTAAGGTCACACAGTATGTGAAGGGCATAGCCAAGGGTGGATGAGAAATGCCAGGGTAGCTGTGATGGAGGTGGGTCTGGGGGTGGAATGTCCTACAGCCATCTCTGCTACCACCTAAGCCCCCTGTACCATCCAGCCTTGGGGACGGGCCCCTCACCACCCCTGTGTCTCCAGGATCGCTGAATTGGAAGGGAGCAGCATTTTGGGGGTCAGTTAGGCATCTAGGTTGCCAGGATGGGGCCTTGGGGTAGGCATGCTGTGGGATCTGCCAGCAGCTTGACATTAATTAATCTCCTGGAGGCTTGTTTGTTGAGTCCCTAACAAGGAACAGATGGGGCTACCCCAAAGGGCATACACCAACAAGGGGAGAGGCAGAGAGGCTGGCACACCCCCATTCCCACTTTCACCCTGAAGGCCCACCTCAGTACCCCTTCATACCATTCCTACCTCTATCCCAGCCCCCTGGGGTCCAAGACCCTCTCATACCAAGTGGCCTGCTTCCCTCCTATAAGGTTAGGCGTGGGGTCCTCTCCCTAGCACTGACCCCCAAAAGCTCCATGGCACCTGGGCCCTGGCAGCCAGCAACAGGTCAGTTTTCCCAACTCTGTCTCCACCTTCTGCCTCTGAGACTGCCTTGTTATGAGGTTCACCCCAAGGTGACAGCAGGCTGGACCCAAAGATGGAAGTCCCTTTCAGAACACACCTACAACACGCAGCCCACCTCAGGGTTCATCAGGGCACAGCCAGGAGGCCACATGGACGGGCAACACAGGTGCAGCCTGTAGAGTGTGAATCCAGGGCAAACCCTTAACTTCTCTGTGCCTTAGTTTCCCCACTGGTTAAAAAAAAAATACTAGGGGTAAATCCACCTATTTTAAATGAGGAAATGAATCCAGGAGGCAGTGTACCCCAAATTCTGGGCACAGGAGCATATACCTGCCTGGCCATTATGGACCCAGCATTCTGCTTGAAAACTCCAAGGACAGTTTTGTTTTTCTAGCTGCTGCCTGGTCATGTATCTGTCCCCCCTTCCCAGGGGCTGGAAATCCCCCAGCCTTCCCCCTGTCCAATGCAGGCCTACTCCTTCCCCCTCCATCAGCCACTTTCCAGTGACACCAGGAATGACTGTGGCCTCCAAGCTCTTAGGAGTGTCCCTGCCCACAGGCCCTTCCTCTCCCCATACTCCACCCCTAGAATTAGCCCCACAGAAATAAACCAGCGAGACAGCGACAGCCCGGGAGGCAAAGGGCCTGGCAGCTCACTCAGGCCCAGAGGCACAGAGACTCCCGGCCACACTCAGTCCCTAGTGAACTTTGCCAGAGACAAGGCACGGACTGGGACCCAAAAAGGCACAGCTAAGGGGGAAGGGGCAGGCAGGGCAAGGGGAGGATCCACAGGCGGGCGGCCACACAAATGTGAGGGGCAATGGCATCAAGGTGTGAGGGGAACTGAGGACCCAGGTACCCCCCTAGAGGGGCTGCAAGAGAGGGGGCCCACAGGTTGAGGCTGTGGAGGCCCAAAAGGGGAGGACAGTGGGGCTCAGTAGCGAGGAATTGAGCCGAGGCAGTCCCTGTTTCACTTGCTCCTGGGACCAACATGCCCCTAGTGCCACTAGCTCCTGGGCCACCATCAGTTCTGGCCTCTCAGGCCACTGGACAGAGGATGTCCGCTAATATGAGAGGTCCCCAGGTCTCCAGGCCTTTCCCCAGCACTGGACATGAGCCCATGAGCTCAGCTCAGAGCAGCCAGAGGAACCAAGCAGGGTGCCTAGCAGCCCCCCATGCTGCAGTGGGGAGCCTGGGGCCCCCACTGCCCCTCCAGCCTGCCATAAACACAGCTACTCAACCAGAGACCACTGGCTTCCCCATGGAGCGAACCAGGCTCAGAAATGCCTCCCTCCCCAGGAAGGGCAGGTGTCCTGGGGAGGGAGGCTCCCAGTACCAGCAGAGGGGCAGGTGGGAGAGCACACCTGCCCACCTGCCCCATGAGGCAGCTCTGAGCACCGGGATTCTGCCTGGAGGCTTTGGCTCCAGAATAAACCCTACTGGCTGCATCTGGCAGCCAATGACTGAGTGGGAGCGGCAGCCTGCCTCACTGGGCTCCCCACCCCATGACAGATCTGATCTTATCAGGGCTACAGGGACAGCCCTACCTGCCCATTGTCTACCTATCCCCACCCCATGGTGGAGATCCTATCAGCAGGATTCTTGCCAGCACCAGGGACATTTCCCATCACCCAGGGTGACTGTTATCGGGGGCTGGCAAGGAGCCCCTCCCAGTCCCTACAAGGGGCCACTACCCAAAACGCTGCAGGTCTTGCCATAGTGGATGGCAAAGACAGATCAAACACTCTACTGGGCACAGAGGAAGGGTGGGAAGAGGGAACATCTCAACAACCACAGTCCCTCGAACTCTAGAACCAGCAACCCTGTTCTCTCTGCAGCCCGGCCACCCTTCAACCTCATCTCCCCATCTCAGTGGCCCCGCCACACTCTTCTTTTCCTTCCTCAACATGCCAGCTTCTTGACTACCCAGGGCCACCGCACTTGCTGTTCCCCTACCTGCAACATTCTTCCCTCTGAGAGTCACAAGGCTCATCCCATGGCCTCAGTCAGGTCTCAGAGAGAGGCCTTCTCTGACCCTCCTGGCCAAAGCGGCCAACCTGCCACCGGCCCTCACAGCCTCCAGCTCTACTGTCTTCATCACACAATCACTGTGGAATTTCCTTGTTCCTTCACCTGTCCATTTATTACTTGGCCGCTCTGTCTTCTTCATACACACCCAGAACCTCAGCTCCTGGACGGCTGGGCCTTATCTGTTCAGTTAACTACTCCATCCAGCACAGAGTAAGTGGTCGCCAAATAGCTGGCAGGTGAAAGCATCTTTGTCTCTGGGATCCGTCCTCCTCATACCTTCCTGGCACCACCACCAATGTCCCTCTGGTTCCAACCCAGTGCAGAGGAATGAGACCAATGGTGGGCTCGCATCTCCCTGGGTCTCAGTGCTACCTGTCACGGCCGGCAAACCACTGTTACTGGGAACTAGCTGGACCCAAGACCCACAGCTGGGTTCAAAGCTGCCTCGGGAGAGTGCAGCTGACACGTCCAGGCGTGCGGCCCCATTTTGGCCAGGGCTGTTGGGTGAGGTTATGTCCAATCCCAATGCTCTGCCCAGGAGGGAAGGGCTCTGAGTAGCCAACATCCAGTCATACAGAGGCCAGCAGCTGGGCAGGAAGCGTCATAGCTCCTGGGACCCATTCTGGGTGGGACACCAGGAATGGCTTAAGCTGGAATCCCATCCCTCTGAAAGGCCAGCATCTAACCCAGCCTCTGGGCCCCTCACTGCCTTTGGTTATCAGACCCTGCATCGCAAACCTTCCATCCAAGTGCCCTGGCAGCTGCCACGTGCCCACTGCCTGGAACAGGCAGGCTACACATAGCCCCTGCTCAGTCCCCATCATCCAGGTGCCCAGGCCTTGGCTCATGCCCATTCCAGGTGACAGAAACCATTCAACTGGCAACAGGGTCCTAGGAGTCCTGGGGAAGGAAGTGGATAGGACCTCAGGCCAGGAGAGAAAGGACAGAGGGAAGGGGACAGCTGCCCACGAGGTTAAGCTGTGGGGTAGGAACTGCATTTGCAGGTGAGAGGGAGCAGGGAGGCAGGGTGTGGGGCGGTAGTCTCTTGGAATTCAGAGGCTGAGTGGCAGCGGGCCCTCCACCCCTTCTCGATGGCAGACCCAGGGCAGGGAGTACAACTGCCCGGACTTCTCTGATGAAGCGTTGGGGTGGGGGGTGGGAGGCGACGCGCGCTTTGTCAGGTCTCCTCCTGGGCCTGGGCTTCCCTGCAGAGGAGGAGAGCTCGGGGTGGGTACAGTTCGGGGGTGTCTGGGGCCTTGGGCTGGTTTTTAGGGGCGGGTCCCTGAGGCACC